AAACTTCCTCCTAATATCCAACCTAAACCTCCCCTGTCTCAGTTCAAACCAAAACGGTGATATACTTCAAAAAACTAAATCAAAACAACTGAACTCCAAAGCCACACAAGCTTTATTGCTCTTCAAACACACTCCACTTTTTATAAACAATAGTCTGGAGCACACAAGTAGGTTATAGTATCAGCACTTTTAAAACTGCATACTGTATTTTGGGAAAATATTCCAGTACAGGCTTGATTTGTTTTTATAGTTGCTGTTTCTCTACTTTGTTGAAATTAATGCTGGCCAAGCACAAGAATGGAAGGAAAAAAAGTAACAGGTTTCTCTTCTGCATTAGGAAGGGTTTGCTCATTATACCTTCATACAAATTAGCATAGCTGAAGCCCTCTGCTTTTTTAATTCTGGCGTTAATGAAGTGGTCTGCAAGAACAGCCAAGACATACCCTGAAACCTGTCACTGCCTCAAAGATTTCAAGCCTCCTAAAATTAAAACTTCATCTACCTTTCCCCATTAGTTACATTCTCTTCACCAGTCCAGATACCTTATGAACACCCAGTAAACTAGAGAATTGCACAATTCGTCAATAAAGTAAGCGTATTTTGAACTACTGTCCATATGACTCAATTTGTCAGTAAAAACTGCCACCAGCGCTGCGCTTGCAGAAAAAAATGTCCATAAATGCATTATTGCGACTGGCAGATCGATGTCCATAATAAAAACAAATAGATTTAACAAGTGCTTGCTTTTACGAGTCGTGCTATTGGTGGGATGTGCATTTGGCTTCACTCGTCAACTTCGGGGAATGGGTAATACAGGCCAGGTTAGGCACTTGCTGACTTCACCAGTGTTACAAACAGGAAATGATTCCAACGCAGGAAATCTTTACAAGCGTTAGGCCGAAGACTAATGCCTTCAGGATGTACTTAGAAGTTTCACACGTTGAGAATTTAACATATTGTTCTGTGAAATATGAAATGAGAAGCGTTGCAGTTATTACAAAACGCAAGGCTTTCTGTGGAAAATAAATGCAGCTCAGGTCAGCTAAATCCCCAGCAGACAGCTCACTATGTCCTCAGGTTGATGTAAATACCACAAAATGCCCCAACAACTCAGGACCTGAAGCCTGCTCCCACAGAGTCAGTGCTTCAGCTCTTACACCACATACAGCACAAGGGCCATCACAGCAGGAAAGAGGCCTCAGTCACCACAAAAGACAATTCCATCCCTTGTATCAGAGCTGAAGGGCAGGGCTCACGAGGAAATTCTGCACTGCTTGCTCAGAACATGGCCAGGTAGAGCAGCTGGAATACCAAGGCTGAATTCATCAGTTGTGCTCGTTCCCCCAAATTCCAACCTGCACGCTGCTGTAGAAAAGAATACTACAGGAACAGCTGTCCATGACTCCAACATACTCTCCTTTGGATTTTTTACACTACTGTTCCTTCTAATAAAGTTTCCCATCACTGAAGTCACTTCGAGCAGAATTTCTTCGGCACAGCCTTTCCATCTTAGCCATGCAACAAACTTAATACTTTTTCTCCACAAGCCCTTGAATTAGCCATTCAGGGAAACCCTGATAACCTTCCCAAAGGGCATGAGCTTCTCCTTCAGGCTACCATTCCTTTAGTGATGCCATTAACTGATTCTCCACATACGTTAAGCATTAAGCAGTGGTGACAAGTTAATTACAGAGTTATCAAGAGATAAAGTAGTCACGGTAACACAAGTTGCAATATAACTACAACAGTTTCCTATAGAGCTTCTGTTCAGTTGCTGGTGTAATTGGTGTAATTAACTTGTCATGGATCAGAATGCAGATAGGAATTGCTAAAGCCACCTTGCAAGCTCACATGGGTACATCTTATTTTCTCTGAAGCTTCAGGCTTTGGGTGGAGTTGTCCAGATGTGCTATGCTTCTGTTTAAAAACAAAGCAAACAAAACAAAAGTTTTTACTTGGACATCTCCAATTCTGTCACACAAACTCACAGATCATTCCAAGAATGCAAACAACTGGGCAAATTCCTGAGAACTGTGACTACGAACAAGTCCCTGCATGTAGGGGCCTCTGCTCCAAGGGAAATAAGCTTCAGAAAGCATCGTAGATGTCAACTGTGTATAAAGGAACTTTAAAGATCACACAAACTGGAGAGATAGACCTGTTTGAACCCTGCCCTAAAATGAACACATGGCATAATAATTTGGGCTTAAAACAAGGCACTGTGCTATCTATGTTCACGTTCCAAGCCTACAAGAACTAACGCAAAATCCCAAGGGAGGCTGCCCCACTGTCACCAACCCTTCAGCTTATGGCACCACGCACAACCACAACGGCCCATCCTTCAACCCGCAGGAACTTTTCCTAACGGGCAACCACGTACAGAAGGGTGGGCACAGCTCCTTCCTGAGCTGAAGGACAGCCCACATGCAAGGCAGAAGGAATCCTAACGCAGGAAGTGCCTTGTGCCTATCACGGCTTCCTTAAGCTGTGTGTCTGTGCATGCAGGGATGACAAAAAGCCGTGAGGCAGATAACAGAATCACACATGGAATCACAGAATGGTTTGGGTTGCAAAGGACCTCAAGGATCATGAAGCTCCAACCTCCCCGCCACAGGCAGGGCCACCAACCTCCACATTTCATACCAGCCCAGGCTGCCCAGGGCCCCATCCAACCTGGCCTTGAACACCTCCAGGGATGGACGGGGCATCCACAGCCTCTCTGGGCAGCTGTTCCAGCACCTCACCACTCTCACAGTAAAGAACTTCCCCCTAACATCCAACCTAAATCTTTCCTCCTTCAACTTAAAACCATTTCCCCTTGTCCTGCTGTTATCTACCCTTACAAAGAGTTGAGTTCCCTTCTGTTTATAGGCTCCCTTTAGGTCCTGGAAGGCTGTAATTAGGTCATCGCGCAGCTTTCTTTTCTGCAGGCTGAACAAGCCCAGCTCCGTCAGCAGGTCCTCATAGGGGAGGTGCTGCAGCCCTCTGATCATCCCCCGATCAGGGAGGCCGTGCTGTGACTCAGGGTGAGGACACTGGCAGGGCTGCGAGGCCAGAGCCGCCCCGTGCTCAGATCGCTGCTTCTCGGCCGAAGCGCGGCTCTGTCTACGCTGAAAAGCTGCACTAAAACAGCGTTTCCTCCCCAAACGCTACAAGTAGGAAGGGCCGCGGATGCAGGAAGCGAGCCGTCCTCCTCACTCACTGCACACACACGCACAACTTACAGACATACCGAACTTGCAACGCAGACACGCGCAACGCTTCCGACCGCTCACCGACCCCGGCCGCAGCGCCGAGCTCCACCCGCCCCGCTCCCAGCCCGGCCCGCAGCACCGCCCGCCCCGGCTCCTCCTCCCACCGCCATGAGGCCGCCATCAGCTGGGCCCCGCGGTCCCGCACGGAGCGCACGTGGGGTCGGAGGGGCGGCGGCGGAGGCAGAGCAGCCCTGGGAGCGGGCTCACCTTGCGGGCACGAACCTCGTGGGCTCTGATTGCCTCCGCGCTCAGCTGCTCCAAAAGCCGGTCTGGGCCTCTTTGTAAACGTTCCCCACAACCCCACGGGGGCCGAAAGGAGCGTGCTGAGGTCTGGCTGCTGCAGCGAGCTGGGAGCAGAGCACGAGATTTGCTGCGCGGCCGAGTTCGCCATTTAAAGCGTTACCTGCGCCCGTCCTTTGCTTAGAGCCGGTGTGCGGGTGAGCAGCCGGCCCGGAGCTCAGTTTGCAGGTTTAGAAGTTCTGCAAACCCAACTTCTAAAAGACAGCACGTGGAGAGCTTTGTTTCGCTTCACGAAAAGAGCGCTGCTCGAGTTTGCAACTCTCATTTTCCACCTAAAGATTTTTCTTGCTGTCTGAAACTCACACCTCGGTTACATCAGCACAAAAATTTTTATAGCGGTGCTGTAGGATGCAGAACTTATCACAGAATGGCAAAGTGGAGGAATCCACGTGGGAAATAACAGAGCGGCTTTAAAAAGTCATCACAGAACCCTGGCAATCTATTTTTTTTTTTTTTTTTTTTTCCACAGGAAGTGAGTGCTGCAAATAAAATAGCACTGAGTGAGTGCCTGTGTGTTAAATCTGGCTCTAAAAAATGACAAAGTTTGCTCCAAAATGCAGAAGTTTCTCCGATGCAATTGAAGATACCTTTGGAACAGTTGCACCTGAGGCAGACTTACAACAGGGCAGTTGTGAGCAGGGGATGTTGAGCAGCCTGTTTTACCATCTTTGCCAACTACATAAGCAAGGTGTTGGCCAAAAATCTCTGCACATCTCAGGGTAAAAGTGTACAGTGTTTCCACCCCGTCCTGTTAATTGTGACTTATGGACATAGCCATTTAGATATTAGGAGGAAGTTCTTTAGCCAAAGGGTGGTGAGGCACTGTTCACAGGTTGCCCAAGGAGGCTGTGGATGCCCCATCCCTGCAGGCATTCAAGGCCAGGCTGGATGTGGCTCTGGGCAGCCTGGTCTCTGTGCAGCAACCCTGCACATAGCAGGGGGTTGGAACTGGATGAGCATCGTGGTCCTTTGCAACCCAGGCCATTCTATGGTTTAGAGCAAGATAGAAGTGATCCTTGTGATCAGTGAAGGATAAATTGCAGTTATTTTAATTTGTTTAAGAAAAATAAATTCAAATCTCTTTATATGAGCAGTTTCTCAATGCCTTTAAGAGGCAGAGAAATAATATTTCAGTTAAGGAGAAACACAGGAAAAGCTATTCCATCTTTGTGATAACTTACAAACATATTCATATTTTCTGATTTTTTAAGCATTCAGTATTAATTTCTGTTACCTTTTACAGTAACCTTTGCTAGTGAACAGATTACTCAGACTTACTACATAAGCAGTGCTGTATGCTGTCAGGAGAAAATGAAGCTTTCCAGCATCTTTAATGAAGGTCGGATTAACAGTAAATGAAAAGGTATTGCCATGGTGTGCCCCATACAAGTGCAGTGGCTTATGTGAAGACAGTCTCATCTCTAAATGAACAGTCTCTTCTCGTCAGTAAACTGTGGGCTGGATGGGATACCCAAGGGATGGTTATTATTTTGGAATGCAAATATCAAACTTCTTAAACTTGGATCCTTTATTTTCTTTTTCCCAGATGTTTTACAATCTGGTATTGTGATTAAAAGGAAGGAGTGTGGAGGTTTGTAAACCAACCATTCTCAAAGTCAATTTCAGTGGTCCTCCTTGCTATAACAGTTGTCATTTCTTCGCCTTCAGGATGCCAACATAAAGATGAGCTCTTCAGGTCAGTCTGTGCTCTTCCAGTTGAGGAGGAGAGGCCTATTGACCAGCATGGGCACGGCAGTTGTTAGCACTGACAACAGCAGTGCTTGAAGAGAAAACTTAATTAGCACTGAATTCCCTGAAGGACTGCTTCCCAGTAGACTATGAATACGTAATGTCGCTGTATAATTAAATACTTACAGATTTATGCAATCTTAAAACATATAGGAGATTCTCGGGTGCATCCACATAGGAGATGTGAGTAGGCCTAAAGTCCCTTTACCTCTGCTCCGTGTATCTGAGCCATGATGGGAGGTGTATGTAGCTGCTTAATGCCTGCAATTGTGTCCCTGCCATATTCTCCACTTCTGGGGTTGGGTCAGGTGGGGCGAGTGAGGTTGTGCTGGCACCTACCTGGTGAGAAGCGAGTGACAGGAGAAAGGGTAAAGCAGGATATCTGCATGAGTTTCAATTAACAGCGTGAGGTTCATTAATTCCTTCCAGGTGTTAGTGAATGTTTACGATTTTAAGTGCTTCGCAAATTTCAGTCTGGTATCTTATCTCTTAAAAATGAACTTATTTTACTTTGAAAATATTATAATGCCAGATTAAAGGGAAACAATGCTAAAGTGAATGAAATCACTCCGTGCTGTTTCTCATTTCTGAAAAGTAGCCGCTTCCTGAAACTTTATGTGGAAACCTCCAGAAAATACATATAAATTTTTTCTAACTCCCCTCCCAGGCTGATCTCCTTATTGCCTGAAGCATGAAAATTGATTATCTTTAATATGATTTTAGTTTGCATTATAACAGGTTTGAAAAGGGAATGTATAATGTCCAGACCCTCTTAAAACCAAGCATTTGGGGGTTTGGCAGTGAGTCCACAACTTGTCTGTTTGCAGTATAAAGAAGGATAGGAATTCAAACCTCACTGTGTTCTAACCTAATCAAAGTTTCATATTCTTCTGTTAGCAAATGATGTAAGAAGGGTACTCCTGAGCACTTTGCACTCTGCCCCGAGAATTACAAACATCTTATTCAAATCTCCTCTAATCCCTCAGATGACCAGATCTTAATCTTTATTATTTTACCGGTATAATTCCAACCACTGAACTTTTGAATTCCCTCCTAGTCTATCGTTTAATGGATAGGAAATTGCTGGGAAGACTATTTCTAATTAGATGTATCACAGGCCAATGACAAGAGTGTCAACAGAAGATATAAACCCTCTTTTTCTGTAGATTCTGGCCTGTTCCTACTGCTTTACTTGGTATATCTTGCCAGGCTTCCTTCTTAAATTATCTGTAAGTGCCACTGGTTGTTAATTTTCTTGCTAGAAGTCTCCAGCTTCAGCATGACACATCCAGTTCACTAATACTAAAGCTTATGGCATGTTTCATAAAACTGATATAATAAGAAGACAAAAGATTCCTAGCATGTTTTTAGAATCTTGTCATATCATAGAATCACAGAGTCATAGAATCATAGAATGGCCTGGGTTGAAAAGGACCACAGTGCTCATCCAGTTCCAACCCCCTGCTGTGTGCAGGTCACCAACCAGCAGCTCAGGCTGCCCAGAGCCACATCCAGCCTGGCCTTGAATGCCTGCAGGGATGGGGCATCCACAGCCTCCTTGGGCAACCTGTTCCAGTGCCTCACCACCTCTGGCTGAAAAACTTCCTCCTCATATCCAACCTAAACTTTCCCTGGCTCAGTTCAAAACCATTCTCCCTCGTCCTATCACTATCCACCCTCATAAACATTTGTGCCCCCTCCTGTCCCAACTCTTTATTCTTCATTCAAGGCATTATCTCTGGGATTCTTCCATGATTTGTTAATAAGTTTGCTGAATATGAGATACCACTCATTTAAGATGTTGTGTTCAGGTACAAAAAAATATTTTCCCAAACTAAACCCACTTCTGTTCTGCAGTGAAGTTCACAAAGCCCTTCTGGTGTCACCATGTGAATTTTCTTCTAAGTAAAGTGACGCTCAGCCTGATTACAAACACTTCAGTGTGACAGAATGTTCTGAGATGGAATGGAAAATTTTAAGAAAGAAGAATTTATTAAAGGCCTCAAGATCAGAAAATGTTTGTGTCTGGATTAAATTTCTGCTTAAGGAGCAGCTTCTGGAAGCATCCACCTTCTGCAACACCTGCTGGGGAAGAGACTTGGGCACTGGAGCTGCAACTGCCCTCTTGTTAGAGGGATGTACAGCCAGGTGGAGGCTCAGGGAAGACATCCTATTGAAAACCACTGGCACTATGGACCTCATTTGTAGTTCTTGAATTTTCCCCCAGAGGAAATAGTCAGATTGGAACAAAAGCTTAATATATTTCTGCCTCTGTGTGTCTGTGCCTTACTGAGTCAGAATCTGTCCTGGATCACTGTGCTCGTGACCTCCTGGCTTGAACCTCCTCATCTGTGAATAAGTGCAGTAATTCACCTTTGTATGATTTCACTTCAGTGAGTAAATAAGTGCTGCTTTTCACTCTTGTAATCGCCAGGAGAAGTATAAAGGCTGAACAAAACCAGAAACTCTGTGATTTTTGTTTGCTGGGATGCTTGCATTTTCCCAACAGCAGGGATGTGTCCTGCAAATGTAAATATGTGTGTGCAAAAAGCATGCTGAATCTGGTTTCAGAGTAGGTTTTAGTAATAGAAATCATATCTTCTCCCAGACTTTTGTTTGCAGCACATTATGAGAGTTTGTCTTTGTATTTTAATTGGTGTGAAATGCTGAGATGTGCACACCTGGGTTGCTGTAAGTGGAGCACATGTGTGAGTGGGCAAGTGTTTCTGGGAACTCTGAAAAGAGTTAAATTTTGATGATGTGGGATATGAATTCTGGGTTTTTCATGGAGAATGAGAAATGAGGGCTAAGGGTTATGATAGAGGAAGTGTGATTTTGTGGGGCTCATTCTTCAGTCTGGGTAGGAGCAGGCTGAGCATTTGAAGGACTCTTTGTGGCCAAGTACAGAGACCTGAAAGAACCACTGGTGATACCAGATCATTTCCTGCAGCAACTGAGATAATCACGGAACCTTCTTCTTGAATAAAAGAAGAGTATCTTCCTTGCAGAAAATAAAAAATAAATTGGGATGTCCATGTCTGTGCAGTGTTTTTCCACAGTTCCTGAAATTTGAGGGAGTTCGGATAAAAATCTGAGGCCTTTAAATCCCCATTGTCATTCAGTTAGTTTGTAGGCACTGCTAATGCAAGTTCTTGTCTCCCTCTTCCCCCAAAATGCGATCCAAGCCTATTTCCAGCCTGAAAGCACAGACCCAGCTCTAAAATAACACAACATGAAAAGTAAGTTAGAAATCCGGATATACTGAGTGGGAATACAACTAGTTCCTGCGCTGGGAGAGGAAGGAAATTGGTTAGTTTGAAGTGGAGAATTACTGGTAAGTTA